TTTTGCTTATTTCGCAGACTGGAAAAACATGCTAAATTAAAACCCAGTGAATATGTAAAATTTAGCATAGAACACATTATCTAAATGATAATACCGTGAATTTAAAACCCACTGAATATGCCTGAAATGGTAAATCAGCGAAATTTAAACCCAGTGAAAATTAGTCATTTTACAGTATCTCCAAAATATGCTCAGTCACATGACATGAAAAAGTCATATATTATTAATATATTATTAGTTTTCAATATGATAAGTTTTCCATTGTATAAAATGGCAAGTTCTATCCCACAATGCACTGCACTTACATGACCTGCTCAGTACACACAATTTGAATTTGGCTCAAACTTTTTTAAAACCATTTGCATATGTTTGTCTGCAGTGTGATTGGTTGCTAGGTGACAAGACACCTACGGTGGAAGATATGCAACAAGGCATCGATCCAAAGAGTTCGTTATTTCAAGCCATTGTGAACGATCCAGTCGTACTGCTTGGTTTGAACAATCCAAGGACACTGTTAGGTTTGTATATAACTGCATCTCATTCTGTAATTTAGTTTGGCTGGATTTAATTTTTGCTGAAATAATATTTTGGCCGTTTTGTATCGAGTTTATTTTCACTGATTTTTTAAAAGTTCAATGTAAAGTATAGGGAAAAGGTACTTTAACATTTTCATTGGATTTTATTTTTACTGATTCAGTTTTTCAGCGAAAATAAAATTCCAAATGGTTTTAAGTTTGATTTCCTTCATTATGGCGAATCTCTTGGTGAAAGAAAAACAGACTATTATCATAAAAAAATAAAATTAAAGCCCAATTTGATAACAATTTGGAACTGTTTTTTCTTTTCAACTTAATACATGCAGAATACAACTAATAAATATTAATGACCTTGAATTACCATCAATAATTAACACCTTGATTAAAGCTCAGCTCAGCAGTCTCTCTGCACACTCACCCAGGGTAGGGGTTTTTTGGTGTTCAGCCTAAGGTAGGATTTGGACTTGGGTCTACCGATCAAGAGTCTGATGCGACAATCACTATGCTACGAGTCATATGTTGCATGTTACCCACATTGAACTTGGCACATGGCCACATTCACCTCTCTTCAAATAATGAATAATTTATTTGTTGATTTCTGTATTAGAATCACTGCCGAGTTATACTTATTTATTGTCTGTGTATGTTAATGTAGCATTATGGGAGTTATTTTGTAGCAAGTACAAGAGGAATGGAAAACCCTGTAATTTTAACCATTATGTAAATTACGGCTGTGACATACACGATGACATAGATGAAAGTAATAACACTCATAAGAACAAGTTTTGAATTTGAAATCTCTCGAAAACGTTTTGATCAATGTAAGACTAAAAATTGGAATAATGGTTGCATCTTTCACCTATTTACGTCATGTTTGAGGTAGTGGACTTTTTACAAAATCATTTTTTCCTTTTCTTTCTTGCTATAGGTTTCGAGCACATGCTGGAAAACCCACACACTAGTTCTGAATATCTATCAGATTCGGTGATTGGACCAGTGCTGATCCAGATATCACGGATATACCAGACAGAACGACAGTTTTCGTTATCGTGACGCTCATCAACATTTCTCTCGCTTCATCACACGAGCCTGTAAGAATACAGTTAATATCAGATGTGAACAAAGTACCACAAACACTACCTACCACAATCAGTTGTCGATTACTCAACTTTGCTTGTGAAAATGATCACAGATTTTTAGTGTTCATTATTGAATCGCATCAATTATATATTAGTGTAACTACGCCCTCTATTGGTACATGCCGCTCTGATGACAGTTATCTTTAAGTACAATTCTATATTTACAATTTTAATTTAATATAATGTAAAAATAATAAATGATTTACAGCCCCATGTACCAGGCGGAGAGTTGATTGCTATCAAGCGTGAAATCTCTAAATCCAATATAGCAGTGTCTGGTATTATTACGATAACCATCAGTAATCAAACAGTCAGCTGTTTCGTCCACAGTGATCTATCATCTGCGGTGTCTGTTTTGACTTACGCTACGTCTAAAACCTGACTGGTGTGTCAATTGTTGCGTAAAATACAATGCTGTGGCCCTGGAACATGCATGCATATATCACTCTCCAGTAAATTTGCAAAATGCACACTGAGTTGATTGAAAATTATTAACATTTTAAGTGATTAGTTTTAGATTATTTGTATAAAATATGCTTTTATTGATTTCTCAAATTACCAGCTTACAATTTTTAACCATATTAAATTCCCGAAGAATCTGCAGTATTTGTTTTTGAAGAGTACAATTTGCAATGTGTGATCAGAATGCCAGATTTACCTCAAAGTCTGGTAAAACCATAGACTCTAGGATTCGTGTGGACACATTTTCATTTTTCTGCATGAATTCAGAGTCTTGTTTTTTTAAACCTTCTGTTTTTACAACATCTTTATGTTGTTTTATCCCTGATGTGTATTTGATTAAATCAAATAATTGTAAACACATTTACATGTGTCAATGTTTTTTTTTCTGGCCACTTCTATTTTTTTCGATTACCACCTTATTGAGGACACTAGCATGCAATTGTCATGTGAAGGATGGTGCATTAATACAAGGTAAAACCTATCTAAACTGAAGGAATACAGTTTTAATTATTAAATTACAGCTCTCTAAGTTTGTGGAATTCCTACTAATATATGAATAAAAGTCGAGTATACCTGAACCACTAAATTGACAATAATATCTTAGGAGTGATGTTCCTTTCCCTGTCCTCTGAGTTAGTTAGAAATACAAACTTCTATTTCAGAGTTCTACATCATTGTCATCTTTCTCTCGTATTAGCCCACTTAAAGGTGAATCTTTGAATCCCAGTGATTGCACCAGGGAATTATGGGACACAATCGTTTATATTTAAGGAACCATGGAAAAGTAAAACGTACTCCCCTTGAAAATTGAAACTTTGTAAATATAGGTAACTTTATGAAACAAGTTGTGCATACAATACAATAATTGAAAAAAATTACATTTGCTTGCATATTCAAGGATTTTCCCCCCAAATAAATAAGTTGGAGCCCAATACTGCACCTTCTCTAATATGAATCTAAAAATTTAATAAATTATCAGAGGAGTAGATGTGCAATACCGTGGCTTCCTTCCGTTGTGGATGTGATTTGGTGATGGGCTGGCTACGCTCATCGTCTGCTCATACGGTTTCATCTCGGTTTCTTATCCATTCAGAAATCTTTCTCAAATGTGTATGTGGAATACTGTCACTTGAAGGCTATAAATCCAAATAACTTGATCCGCACTACTATCGACCTCCAAAACCCATTCTCCTCGTTCTCTTAAATATTTAGAAATTTCAACGGCAGTTGAATGCAATCGGCTAATCAACGAGTACATTGGCACCATTTAAAAATGTTCTGTTATTTGATTGGCCTAGAAGCCTCTTGTTTCAGTTCATTCAAAGGGCGGTAGTTGTTGCGCCACGCATGCACAATATACATGGGACTCGTATAAATCAAAGTATAAACTTTGACTGCCTGAGACGTTACCAAGCTTTAATTGCGTATTTTTGAGTTGATTGGAAGGTATCGAAGGAGTCACTGACGGTAATTAGTACAAGTCGCGCCCAGGTCAAACCTCATACTTGTGCTTATCATTAGAAGAGCGCATTGGATTGTGGGAAAAACAATGTTTATCAACACAAATATCGCACATGCGCAGCGCGGCAACTACCGCCCTAAAATGTATAAATATTTATAATATAAAGTAAATATGTTTGTTGTATTGATAGTATTTATTTATGTAATATATATTACTGACTGATTTATTTGAAAATTAGATGTTCAGAGTGTTTGTCATAAGGAGGCAGTAGGCTGGGAACATTGCACCTTGTAAATTCAGAATGGCCATGTCAGGCTACTACAGAGGGCTACTTGTTATGTATTGTCTGAGAGTACAATTTACTTGCAAAATGAATAAATTCTGGTTATGTTCATTCATGAGTAGGCTTCAATCTGATTAAAATCTGATGTATTGTACGGCGTGTATTTTATTCTATATATTTATTTTACTTTGACTATTTTTTTTCAAATTATTTTTTCAAATTATTTTTTTTTTTACGTGCTTGTGATTCGGTATATTTTTAACTACCGCCACATACCTTTCATACGTGCCTTGTTTGGCATTCCCAATTACCAAAAATTTAAAAAACTATCTACAAATAAAAAATAGATCCAAATAAAATAAAATGAAATATATTAGAAAACAAAAATGAAAAAAAGCCAAAACAAGGATCTTATTTTAATCTGATTGGAGTAGGCTTCTACATTAATCAGTTGAAGTTGCAGTGGTTAGTGATTTGCTGTTGCACCAATACACGTACTAGTATCCTACAAGTTGCGCCCTCTAGCGAGAAGATGCTACTATGTATCGACTCGTCGCTAGAGGGCTGATTGGGAGTGAGTCCGGGGATAATGTCCGGATGGAGTACAGATAGAGGTGATTCTAAATCGGATATCAGGTACCAGAGTCAACCTAGGTGGACATCAACTTTCATCTAAGACGGTTGTGCCACGTTTATTTATGTTTCTATAACACCCAAATGGTCGTAATTATGATCTAAGATTGTTACACTGAAAGTTCAAAACAGTCGTAAACTGAAAGGATGAACACATTTCAAGAATTGTCTGAGTTTTGCGCGAGCTGCGTCACTTCAAATGCTGTAAACTTGAATGTTCATACTCGGCGTATATGAATATATAATTAGCTAAATTAAAGTAATATATTTATCGTGATTTTTATTTTTTTCTGTCGATATTTGAGCACTTTTTGTATGGGGGGGCTAGGTATTTGTCTTTACGAAAGCAGTGTTCACTTGTGTGAAATTTTCCTCACATCTATGGCCATTTTCTCCTAACATGAGTGCAAAGCGAATGTGTCTATTATTAAAGATCGAAATCGTGGGACATCATTTCCGGAGAATTCAAATAATGGGTATATTCGACAATCTTCGGCTACGCTTCAAACAACTGAACAATGTAGGTAAAAGCGTGGCTGACACGAGGGCGACCCGACGATTAGGCGTTATCTGGGTTTTAAAAACATAAAACGCCAAAAAGCGGAGAAGCGAGCCAAAATAAAATCTAAATATAAAACCATTACTCTCCCTGATTCAGAAACTGATTAGACGAATACTTATTGACGGCTATGATGAATGTGCAAATCTGAGATTCGTTCTAAATTCTGACTGAGAAGATACATTCATACAATGGAAAGAGTTCACCTGCTTCACGTTTTCATACAAAAATAGCGAATCAAATACTACTATGAAGTGAAGTCCAATGAAATATTGAAAAAAGCAGTAAATGGTCCAGGACAGATTTAGATAACATGAATGAAACGCAGATAATTAATACAAACAAAATACTAACATCTTCTGAGCAAATTATGAAAGAACAATGTATTGATTATTGGAATGACAATTAAAAAAAGTAAATTACTATTTGAAGTTATCATGACAAATTTCACCTTCGCGACGAATGACAAACTTGTATATTTAATGAGTGACGAAATTATTAACGTGGACATTGCATTTGCTAATATTATTTCAATATTAATTCAAAACAAGAGAGTAAAACCTCAATTCGTAGAAATACTTGATAAGCTGTTTGTTTGTTTATATTATTGTACTGTATTTTTTTGTAATGTAACCATTTTAATTCCTCCTGAGATGATTATGCGTTTTCAATAAAGTTTAAATTTGTCTGAGCTTCAGTGGTCTGAGTCTGATGCGGTGACCATGCATGTCGCCGTTCTATTCCTCCTATACATGCCACGAGAAAAAAATGATTTTTATCTGGCTACGATGTCTTTGAAATTATTCGGCATGTTTTGTCAGAGCACGTGTCAATGTGTTTGTTTTATGGACTTATACTCACCAGTACCTATTGTTTATTCATGTGTAGTTTTCATAGGAATAATTTTCTTGGAGGAGCTTCACAGTATATTGTGTAAGATTGTCGCCATCGATAGACTGGGCGTATATAGCCAAAACTATGAACACTAATATTAAGGCCAAAAAAAAAACTTATGTTTCCCTCAAGTCGGAAAATTGAAAAATTGGGTCGGTCGGTCGGATTTTTTTTTTTTTTTTGTAAATTCAATAAAATTTTGTGCATTTCATGTATTAAAAATTATATTTACTACTAAAAATAATGATTAAAAATAATGTTTTTATATAATTAAGAAAATACTAATATTTTTAATATTGTGCACCAACTATCCGTCGAATCGCAAATGTCAAAATGGCCTGAAATGCAAAAGACGTTTGCTCTTCAGACTTCATAGTATACGGAACATGTCAGAGAAATACAAATCAACCCGAGGTTCAAAGTCGCCACTTTCCTGGGGATCAAACAACGGTCCGGAATCGTTAATTTTTAGAGGAAATACTTGTTTACTGTTTAAAATGGTGAGTTTTTAATATTTGAGCCTATTAAAAAAAAAAAAAAAAACCGCGACCCGATAATTCATATTTTCCGGTCGGTCGCTGAGGGCAACAAAACAAGTTTTTTGGGCCTAAGATCGAACTAAGGACTATATAGGGACCAGGACACGTAATTTTATAATATTAGTGTATTTTATCTCGTTGTAACAGTACATAGCTTCATGAAAACAAATACAATTTAGAAACACAAAATATTCTTCAACTGTTATACCACTAAAGCATACTTTCAAAATAACAGCTCTAAGCTAGGAATGTATATACCCACACTTGAATAGAGTAAACTTATTTTATATATAATACCGCGCGACTCACGTGAACCACGAGAACAGAAAAACAACCAAGATGGTGACCTCAGCAATATCTTTCAACAGTGACTTCTTGTAATTCAGTTTTAATTATTTCGGGAAAACAACTTCTCTATGAGTCACGTGATCAGGTTTGAGTAAAATAAGTAATATTTAATTTCATAACCAATAGAAACAGAATAACAATGAGTCAAAATATACATAAAATAAACCGGATCGTCATCAATTAAAAAAAGAAACATATAAAAACAATACAATGAGAATACATGGCCTCAATCGCTACAATTGTTGCATACACGTTAAATAGCATCGTATAATTAAGATTATATTTAAGTTCAACTTACTTATGGAAGCCCTACAATAAAACACGACATTGTTATTTGCTTTACATCAGTTTTCACGCCGTGGCATGGCACCCAGGTTATAAGCGTGTACGCTGTGCGCTCTCATGCAGTCAATATTTTAATTTCAGCGGCCCCTCCAACTACTGCTACTGTGATTCTACCTCAGGTGCTCGCTTGCGTGTCCCGCGTATCATTCCAACCAAATGCCGTTGAGGGCAGTACACATAAGTTGGAATTCGCAGGAAATGTTGAGACTATACTATAACATGCATTTAGGCGAGAAAAATATGATATTCCTGCCGATCGCACCCTGATATATAATAATGTCATTTCACCGGAAATATGCATAACATTATCTATGAAGGACAATATGCCGCATTTTGATTTACATCGCTGACTAACTTTAAAGGGGGCAGAGGTGTGGCTTTTGACACACTGTACATGACATTTGAGATCTATGAATGAATTCTGTCGATAAAAACAACTTGTATGTGCTGCGAAATGTCCTAAATATCGGGTATAAAACGGGCTGTGAAGCAGACGACAAACATCCGCTTTGCCTGGCGTTATTTCGCCTCTAGAGGGCCAGTTAACTGACAACTTAAAAGTTGTAACATGGCGAGGTGTTGTACGTATGAATGCCATAACGATTCATGTAAGTACAGCGTTCTGGCTATAGTAAACAATGGGTGAATACATATTGTACGAGTTAAAACTAAATTAGAAATATGCTAAAGAGTTTCTACTAGTAGTAATTGCAATACAAACTGACAAACGTGGTGATATTTATTTCTGTACATCACCACGTGTGGGCGTTGTATTTCTACAGCGAAACATTGGAACTGTTCGTGTATCCGCGCAAAGGACCATGGGAGTTTCCAAAGTCAAAGGTAAACAACCCCGTGACACGGGGTGTATTTGTTTTAGGTTTTGAGGTGCATTATATTCAAGTAACCACATAGTACAGAGGCGGTGGCAGCTTTTTTTGACTGTGGGGGCGAAGATTTTATGTGAATGTCATTTTATGTGAATGAATGTCAACGCGACCTTTCTTGGGGGTTCGGGGCATGCTCCCCCGGTAAAATTTTGAAATCTAGACCCTCTGAAACGCTGTTTCCTGCATTTTGGGGAGCAAATTTTGATGGTACACTTAGGTATATATCTCTTACGTTGGGCCGCACGGTGTGCATTTCTACCGACATTTGCGGTGGATTTTAGTGACAGATATAGATGAGTGTTTCACGACCGCCCCCACTGCCCCCACGGTGCCGCCACCACTGTAGTATGTGCCCCGCTCGTGACACCAGCCAATACATTCAGAACGCGCATGCGTCTGATGTAAGCAGGCACGCTCAAGTTTATTAGGCGCACTTTTCACAATATGGGTCTTCGTTCTTCTTGAAGAAGGATTCGCCCTCCAGCGATTTTTCGCATCCCTAAAAAACAAAAGACACGGTTAATTCTGTGAAACATTTGTTCGGTATTTTATGTGTCTTGTAAAAACAATGAAAAGTTGCAGTAATGTCCTTGTTGCAACCACGGTTACTAAAAACCGTGTTGCATCCTAGTACATGGTAAGCCCCGTCGTTATATACTGCGCCCTCGTCGTTGTGTTTTAGACATTTTAACGCGTAACACAGGGGCATCGTCCGATCACCCTCCCCAAAAGTTACCCCTAACTGCATAATGTTTTCACCGTTCGCCAGGCGCGCCCCGTCAGCCCACAACAAACAAATTGACAAATCAATTGACAAACTCAGCCCACCGGAGGTCTATTTCGGTCCCGTCAATAGGAGCGCCCCACCCCTTTATACCGAATTTCTGGATCCACCAGAAACCCTGCTCACCTTGCATTTAAAACACCCATGATGCCATGCGTATCCTAAGGCCTTTATCCACTTGTTTTCTATCGCCTCCTTGCATCCATGACATTCCGTCGGCTTCTGTTCACCTCCCATAAATATCTTCTCATAATCTGTCAAATTTAGACAAACAACCCCGCGTTAATTTCTGAAGTATCCACCACTGTCTCAATTATCTCCTGATGCGCCCTCATAGTTGAGTTCTACAATTTACAAGAAATTCAACGTCGGACGAAAAAGGTAATATTTATTGAAAACAAAACATTTATTTGAAATGTGAAGTCAACACATGTTTACATTTTATCTATTCAATATGTTATGTGATAAACGATTAGTGGGGCATGTCCTCGCAAAATGAACTCCACGACGCCTCGATTTTGATATGGTCCCATGCGACGTACTAGTATTGAACGCGTGTAAATACATTGTTTGTGTACATGGCTGAGAACGTATGCTACACGACGAACGCCGTCCTTTAAAGGGCGGTAGTCGTCGCGCTACGCATCCGCGAGATATATGGGTCTCATTACTCTCCATCCCAGAGTTCTTAGCGCAGTCAGGCTAACACCTCTGCCACACATGACTTTCACGCTATGATTGGCCACATATCAAAAAGCAGGTGTTGTTCAGTTATTCAAGACGGCGGCCCATACCCAGTTGGCAAGGAAACTATTAAATCTTTCTCTTCCCACACACTTTTCATAACTGCTTTAGTTTCAATTCCACGTCAGAATTGTATTCATTTTAAACACGTTTTAAAGTTCCCGCGAACTCCGCCATATTTAAATATAGTTCGGGTTTGACCCTAACAATGACCCTTGATTTACATAAATGCATAATCAAGCGTGGCAGAGGTGATTTGAAGAATCGTGCGTGGAGATTGGGGTCTCATATATACAAAGATGGCGACTTTGACTGTTGCGCAGACCAATGAGTGCTAACTGAGATGTACACAAGCTTTAATTAGATATTGTTCAGGTGATTGGAAGGTATCGAAGGAGTCACCGACTGTAATTAGTGCAAGTCGCGCCCAGGTCAAAACTCATACTTGTGCTTACCATTAGAAGAGCGCATTGGATTGTGGGAAAAACAATGTTTATTAACACAAATGCGCATCGCAACGACCACCACCCTTTAAGCTTGCAAAAAGTACGACCACACGTAAATACTCCCATGGAACGATTAATTGACTTCGGGTAGACGTTCTGAACTCCAATTCAATTACAACTTCCCCTCCTTTACATGCAAACAAAAGAGGGATTCCTAAACGAAACCACAAGACTCACAATGGATACATTCTATGTGTCCTTTCATTCAGTATGAAACCTATTAAACTGATCTGCTCGATTGAACATTTCGTGACCAGACTTTATAAGTGTCTTATTATTTTCCCGTCTACGCCGTCCCATAGCAGTACCGTGGCAATAAAGCTGTTGGTCCGTAGTAATAAAGTTGGGGACTTTGGCGGGAAGCTGTCGTTAGCTGCAGTATATGCCGTTAGACAGAATTTGACGTCGCTCATAATTAATGCATAAATTAAATTTGTTCAATTTTATACAAAAAAAAAAAAGAAACCAGTAGCAGATCCAGCAAGAAAGACTTGTCGGATGACTTACCAGGTTTGCAATACGGCTTTCCTTCTTTATGGAAGAAAGGACCATCGAACGGCTTCTTACACTCGGCGCATACAAAACATTTAGTATGCCATTTCTTTTCCATAGCGGAAATAATCTCCTAATAGAAAAGTACACGAGAATAGTATAATACCGCTGTTGACCATTGCCCCGACTACCTACCGTAGTTCCTGGCGTTCAGTGAATGACAAGTACAAATGGGAGTTTGACTGATCAACCAGAATGCCGGTAAAAAAAAAACAAAAAAAACATTACTTTGTGCCAAGATGGAATTCTATTAGTTGTATGTTTATTTCATTCATAGTGTGAAATAAGTGGAACGTAAAATCATATTTAGCATTTTGGATTACATGCATCTTGTGGAAAAAATACTGGTCATCAAATACAATGTATTTATCGAAGCATACGAACCAGGAGCGCCGACTTACCCCGATAACCGACTCATCGCACCCAGCACACTTGGGAGCTTGTTTCTCGTAGTCTTCCACGCAGAGAACGCCTCCGTCTTTGGTTTCGTAGAATTTTTTCACTTCCTGTTTGCAGACATCGCATATTTGAGGGCCGCTACGGAGAGGGTAGAGTTCAATTAATTAGCGTCTGCTGCGGGGGATGAGTGTCACTAGGAAACAACTAGACATTTAAACGACAGATAATTGTACCAATATCAATCCGAATTTTATTATCGAATGTTTAAATTTAATCATCATGTCCCATAATTAACAATCCCATTGGTTGACAGTTTTCTCTTTTAATGTGACCAGGCCACCAATTTAAAGCGAGAGGGTCGCACCTGCGCACGTGCATGAATTGAGTAGACTATGGTTTTCAAGTTTCCAACGATTCCATCAGATCGGAATAAATCTGTCACCACGAGTTGAATAGAATTATGACCCATCGGCTGCTTTGTAAACCATATCTTGTCGGATTCTTCGTATTTGCGCCGGGGTTTCACGTAGAATGCTTTATGTTTTCCCTCGGGTGGGCAAAATGATGTGTACTTCTTGTACATTCTAATATGGTAGACGATTGTTTGTTAACAATGAGAGGCTTTTTTTTCTTGTTACCATTTGTTTTTCAGTTGTGTGTGGCTTACTTTTGTTATTATTTTTAAGTGTTTCTTATTGTTATTATTATTGGGTAAATAACAGAGAACGCTTGACATTAACAACAACTTACATTCGTTTCGCCGACTTTTCTTCTTCGTCGTCATCAACCGGGCCACTGTAAAAATAACGATATTGTTATTCATGTTAGGATCCATCTTGGTTAGAGCGC